ACTTGTTGAAATATTTTATACTGAGAATTCTAATTTTGTAATAATACTAATACTACTCAAACTGTGGTGTGGGTTACTTATATTCACATAAGTAGTATATAACGGTGGTCAGACATAGAATGTATTTCAGTAGAAGATCGATAAGGAAAGAACGGAAACTGAACGCGATTCATATGAGAATGCATGAACAATGAACTCTGAGACAATGAACTGATATTTGCATAAGGGACAGTGAAGTTGGAGATGATGGATTGACATTTTGCAAATTAATTATTTACTGTATGGTTCTGAGATTTTAGTGAGATATTCTGTAATGTTGTACTCAAGTACATTCGTTTGTCCCTGCTTGTGTTCTTGTTTACTACAGTATGTATTACCAATGGAAAATGAAATGTCTGACAGCAGAACATTTAGAAGATCTTAGAAGAAATGAGAACAAGTACAGAGATAGACTGATGCGGAAATGAAGTAACAATCAAGTGTAAGACGATTGTTTATTACTTATTCTCTTATTAACCCTTACTTTTTTTTATGATCGTATATGAATTCATTAATTACCCTACTCAATACGTGTCTGAATATAAATATTGAATAACGCTTGATAAAAACGACTTGATTCACATGACTTCTCAGATTTTAGATATGAGTGTATTCATGTGTGTTATAACTTGTGATCGCCGGTTAGAGAGCAGCGAATTATCGATCAGACGAAGGACGCGTAAAACACATGTGAGCAGCCTAGAGTTCTGATTAGTCCTTCTTTCCGCCTAGCTCAGCCAGTTAAATCCAGAACACCAATCCGAGCCTCTCTAATATGAATCATTCATTTCAAACATACTCGGTTTATAAATCAACCAGACAGACCACAACGTACCACAAAATAGAAAATAACATTGCACAATATTGACCAGTAGGAAAATGACACATGAATTAAATATTGACCGATAGGAAAATGATACCACTTCAAGTCCAAGGTTAGCATTAGACTTAACATAATAATTTTTAGGATATTTTTCTGAATATCCCAACAATGTGTTATTTGTCAGAGGAGGCCACAGGTTAGGCTCCTCTAATTCTATCAAAAAGTATATTCGATTGTCACTGCTAGTGTTCCTGTTCACTATAATACTACTACTACTACTACTACTACTACTACTACTACTAGTAGTAGTAGTAATAGTAATAATAATAATACAATACCATGTAGATATTACCTGTGAATGTAAATGCATTATCATAATCAGTAAGATTATATATAATACAAGTAATTAGAAGATTATTCTTGTCATAATCATTAGTAATATGATTAGTTTACTTGTCAATCCATCTACTTAATTCTTATGAAATAGATTTATAATAGAGTTTCATTATGTATGAATGTGAAAGAAAGAAAAAAGAGAAAAAAAACAAAAAAAAAGAGAAAGAAAAAATGAAATAAAGAAAAATAAAAAAATAATTTTATTCATGTGACAAATATTTAGTTTCTATATGATTTACTTAATGTATATTAATTGCAAATTGTTCTCTCTTTTTTTTTGTTTTGTTTTGTTTTTACTACTGAATAATTACCTCGTTTTTTTTATCGATTTTTGAATCATTTATATTACTAAGATTATTTGAGAAGAGGATAGATAGTGGATAATAGTAGAATTCAAGTGATGCATTTCATCTTAGTTAAGATCAGAGTTGATGTTCACTCGTAGACTCGAACCCAGTATTGTTTATTTCAAATACTAACACATGATCTAATTAGCTATTGAGTATTGATAATCAATTGCTTGTGTAATCGGTTGAAGTTTAAACTCAATTAGTATTGTTTCCTTGAAACGTCTCATTGATATTCAGGACTAAACATCAACTCTGAGATTCAGGTACATCTAGCTGACGAATCTCAAAAAAGATAAAATGTGATTCTTGCAATCGTCTACTAACCATTGTCCATTTTTGTTTATAATGCTTGTGAATTAAGGCAATAATGATGAGGCAATCCATACTTTATCCATATATGCCACTAAGAGATTGGGATCAATTACAGTCCTAAACATCAATGGTATGATTCAAGTAAATAATATCAAATGAATATATGGTTTTTCTTTTAATAAATACATATCGTTCAGTAGTTCGTTTAATATAGAGTTTCAAACTGAAAGTATTGTGGTGCGTGCTACTTATATTGATATAAGTAGTATATGACGCGAGTCAGGAATCTAATGTCTGGCAGCAGAAGATGGGGCAGATCAAGAAAGGAAGAGCGGGAATCGAAAACAATTAGTATGGAAATGCAAGAACAATGAAGTTCAAGACAATTATTGAACGTTTTGCAAATTAAGTATTAAAGTATGATTTTTCTATTTTACCAAGTAATTGTGTAATGTTGTATCAAATATAATTTGGTTGTCTTCACCTGTGTTCTCCTTCGCTGCAGTATAGTTCTATACATGAGGTGTATAATCGGGGTAAAATGTTAAAATTATAAATGCTGAGAATCCAGGCTTTCATGGGGTATATTGATTTATGCATATAACAGTTGATGTCACATGACACATATGGGAATCATATTAGATACATTCATTTAAATGTTCATATACCAGAAATATGGAATGGATTGAAGCTAAGATGAAAAGATTAAAATTCATGGTAGCACTGTTATCAATTGTAGAATAGATTTTACTGTATATTATAAGATACATCTCTTTGAGTACTTTCATTATTCTGTTTTGGCTCAGTGGTCTAAAAATACATGAGGCCCTTCACTACAAAAAGAATGTATCTAGTTCGTCATTAAAAACAATAAGGAACGGTATATTTTTGATAAGATCACGCATGAGTACTGTGATAAGATCTTGAACTGTAGTGAAAAAGTCTTTTAAATATATAGGGGATTATCGAGATTTTTAGAAACGTTGTACCCACAATAACGTGCTCTTGTCTGAAATGGTTTTCAGGATCAATTCTCATTTGAACTCAGACTACATAGTATTCTGAGTACAAAGTTTGTCATTTACTGTATACTAGCACAAACGATTCATCATCAATTTACTTTCCAATATATGTATGTGAATATGTTTTCAATACAAATGTATGAGGCGGAAACTTGGAGAACTAAGAAAGCCATCATCCAGAAGAAACAAGTGTTTAATAATAGTTGTCCACGCACATCACTTCGTATCCGTTGGCCAACAGCAACTATCAGCAACAACCTACTGTGGGAGAGAAGAAACCAGATTTCAGTGGGGGGAAGAAATCAAAAGGAAACGTTGGAAGTGGATAAGACACAAATGAAGGAAAGCTCCCAACTGCATCACAAGATAAGCCCTCACTTGGAATCCTCAACGCCGAAGGAGAAGTGGAAGACCAAAGAACGCACAGGTTTTGAGTACGATTTTAAATGACATTGTAAGTACAAATTTCTATGAAGTTCATTATCAAGCTGAAACCTCTGTCAAACAGTATATGATTTCTTATTAGTCAGTTCGTACAAGTCACTCAATGATGTATTCTACTTTTACAATTGAAAACTTTCACAAACCATATCTACTCATAATGAGTTATCTAATGTACACATTGGTCCACCTAGATGCTTCATACCTGTGCGTTTGCGCCACAAGATTGAGCTGTACTGATGAGATTATAAAGTTTAAGCCTGAATTATATCTGCTTCTCCTAGAAACTGGATTGAGTCTTACTATTTGAGCTACCAATTTTAAGCCTATGCGTTATCTGGATCTTTTGTTAAACAGAATTAAACAGTACTGTTTGAGTTGTCATGTAATAGTCTGGATAGTTTCTGGTTCTCGTGAAAACCAAATTTAAAATCACTTCTATCTGAAGTTTGTACTGATGATGATGTCGTTCAAAAGAACGATAAAAACTCCAAACCATCCAGCTCAAAGAACAAAACTCCATCAAAATCATCCAACTGACCAACAAATCATCTCCACCATCTACAATGGTATTATATAACTCAAGTAAACGTATTTATCCACATCTATTCATTACTCTTCGTCTATGGTTTACATCACATAACAAAACCTATAAAAACGTTAAATGTTTTATTTGAATAAAACAAAAACAAAAAAAACAATAAAGAAAAAGAAACATTTTGAGCAGTTGTACAATGAAAACAAAAGATTCGATTGTTTTTTTTAGAAAGGAAGAAAAAAATGAACAAAATAAGATTGTTACTAAGATATTTATTTTATCGGTTTTTCTTTTCTTTTTTCATTCATTCAATTTCTTTTCTCAATATCAGTCATTTTTTTATTTGAATCTTTTTCTTTTCTTCTTCTTTTCTTCTTTTTCTTTTTTTTTATCACAAACAAAAATATAGATTGAACATCGATTCATTATTTTGATTGGTAGTTTGAATTATTTTTTCTCTTTTTTGTTCTTCTCTCGTTTTTTCTTTTTTTTCTTCTTTTAAATTCATTTAAATGACTACACTTATTATTGTTATCATTAGTTTTTCTTTATTAAAATTTTATTTTCATTGTTGTTGTTGTTGTTGGGTTTTCTTTTAGAGAAATTTTTTGTGTGTTTTACTATTTGTTGTAAAACTGAGAAAAAATTGAATGGAGAATAATAACGATAATAATCACAACAACAACATAAGAAAAAGAGAGAAAAGATAGATAGAAGAAATATATGATGCATTTCTTTTTTACTAAATGTAATATGCATTGAATGATTTTATTAATAAAAGGGGGTATTGGCTTGTCCGTTTGTTTGTATTCATAATTACAATTGTATAATTAATGTGTATATAGAATACAATGATTATGGTTATTAAACGTTTCCACAGAGAGAGAGAGAGAGAGAAAGAGAGTGAGAGGGGGATGAGGGAGAGAGGGAGAGGGAGGAGAGAAACAAATGACTTGATTATTAGAAGTGAAAATAGATCGATCATATTGAATGAAGTAGTTAGGAAGGTGGATAAATGAGGCCAATTATTATTATTATTATTGAAGAGTAAGGTGTCAAAGAATGGAAGGGATTGTCTATTAGTGAACTCTAAAAATGTAAAAACAAAAAACAAAATAATGAATCATAAGAAGGTTAATAAAAGTCGTTAATATAATGTAATAAACAATTTTAACATGAGAAGCTACTATATATGGAATTGTAAATACTTACTTTAATTAATGAGCTATATCGAAATTAAGATAGATGTTTTTGATATTGTTAAACTCTAAATGAAATGATTTGATTAGGAAGTATTCATTGGAAAGGATATTGTCAAGAATGACAAAAAAAGCTTAACTACAAACTATTTTTGATTGAAATCATGAGTCAATTGAAGCTAGACCATCATGGAAAACCTGGAAGCACTGGACGGCCGTTTCGTCCTAGCATGGGACTCTTCAGCAGTGCGCATCCACGATCCCGCACCCCACGAGATTCCAACCCAGGACCTATTAGTGTCGCGCCAGGTGCTTAACCAACTAGATCACTGAGCCGGCATCCAATGGTGTTAGTGTCTAACATCAACCAATCCACGTAATTGCGCGACCATCTTCGATTGTACCGACGTAGACACCTGTTTCTACCCGACACGGATTAGCTCCACTGATCACGGCTTCTCACCAGAACACCGAGGATTTTCTCACGAAGCTAGTCACTATTTAGTAAAGATAACTCGAAACTTTTATGATAGTTGAATTCACAAGTTAATTAAAGCTAGATCATCATGAAAAACCTGGAAACATTGGATAGCTATTACTTCTTATTATGGGACTCTTCAGAAGTGCGCATCTGCGATCCCACCTCATGAGACTAGAACCCAAGATCTATCGGTCTCGCTCGTGAGCGCTTAACCTCTAGACCATTGAGCCGCTTGGTATTCAACGGTGTTAATGTCTAATTTCAACCAATCCTCTGATTATAACTTAAAACATTATACATATTCACTTAGTTACTGAAATGTTCTGTAGTTTCATGAAATTCATAACGTCTGAAGTGGGAATGGAAATGAACAACAATTGAGTATTTTTTGTGATGTAACTGTTCATAGAATACAATCAATTTCAAATCGACAACGAGGTATCAATGTTGTCTTTAATATTAATGGCAACTTGATTGAAAAATTTACGGATATGTGGTTTCTAATCTTCATTTACATCTTTACGTTCTGATTCTTCTACTATGCAATAAGTTTACCCCATTGAGTTCATATAAGTCCAAGGACTGCTTAATATCTCTTTCGACACAATTTAATGACGCCATACTGAGTGGTTGAAGGAGATCTAGAGGTCCTATGGACCATTTGGCTTTGTGTACAATCATGACTGCAACAGGTAGGATATTTATTAGAATAAACCATAGACGGTTCACACAGACGATGGACTAAGTTCACAGTGTTAGGAATGAAGTGAGTAGTTGGGTATGGTTAGTTATACAAGATAGAGATGGTTGACAAACACACCTGAATGTCTCTTATTATTCCACTAATACGATATCTTACGGTTTCTATAATCACGAGAACTTTAATAAATTGGTATTATGAATCATTGAATGTTCTTGTGTGAATGCACAATGCATACATTCGAGGCTATCGGATATGCAAATTTAACACTGAATTACGATATCACACAAGTTATTTAATAAACTAAAGATACGTAGTTTACAATCATTAATATCATTAACACCTACGATCTAGTACTACCCATTGCTGAGAAGTCCCATACAGTTGTCTAGTGCTCCTAGATTTTCAATAGCGATCTAACATTGATCAGTTAATGATCTTAATAAACACTCTACAATCTCTACAAAACCCTATACTGATCATGAACAGCCTCTTTAAAAAAAGACTTTTAGTACTAAAAAGAAACAGTATATGAAGATTGTAAATCTAATGATTCATTAGATTTTCTTTAAAAATATGCAAACCATTTAAACAAATGATATTAATAAAGATGGATAGTGGCTATCATTGGAATCCAGGACATGCGTTTCGTCCTATTTAGGACTTGTCAGCTGGATTTAACCCTTATCTCAGAGTTGATGTCCACTCTGAGACTAGAATCGAGTACCGTTCACTTCAAACGCCAAACAATGGGAAGATATAAGTAAACAACACCAAGTGAATACAAATGATATTAGTTAGTAGACGTTTTAGCTTTGACTGTGTTTTTTCCTAAGACAGATAATATAAATCATAATAATAAACATCCTATGACATTGAAGTAATGTGCATAATTAAAGAATAAGTGTGAAATAAACATCTTGACAATCCATCCATTTTAATCAAAATAAATGATTCATTTTTATTTGTAGAGCCGCTGCCAGTCCGAAGCTCAGATAAAGGAGGAGGGTTGGGAATGGGGATAGCGACCCCATCCCGTAGGAAACTAACTCGCTAAAAAAGGCTAACTACTACAGTGTTCAAGTATTGAATTCTTAAACATTTTCATTAAGTCAGAATATGTCTAAGTGTACATCTTGAAAGAGAATCCTTCTTATTCATGACGTAACTTACTTGAATAATCAAAGAAATTAATCAGTACAAAGATAAGATGGTGTTTGGAGATAGTCGATAGAAAACCTTAGAACTAAGTTTCAAGCTATTTTGGCACTCGTCAGCAAGGTGCATCTGTAATCTTGAGAGAACTGATTCTCCCTGATGCTTTCGGTCTCGTGTCACCCAGCTTCATAGTCAGAGACGTTATCAATAGGCTATTCGAACAACGACTGACATCCTATAGCACTGAGATGCAGTTACAATTAAATAATCACAAGGTGGTGATCAATGTAATATGTGCCAAATAGCACGAAACCTAGGCCCATGGTTTTTTGTTGACTAGTGGCCACATTGCAACTTGGTCGATAGAATTCGATCTGAACTTACAAGGACCTAACACATATGATATTGATCAACAACCGGTGACCATCAATCGCAGTACAAAGATAGATGATCAAACAATGAAGTTTATCTTCGCCGTTTACAGAAAGTAGTTTATGGCTCATAAGTATTAATAAACGTTTAACAGCATAAAATGTTTGCCTAGTCTATTTAGACAAGGAATTATATCATTTATTGGTCTCTTGGACACGATTAAATTTGGAAATTATAAAAAATTTAAGCCGTAAGAACAAAATATTTGAAAACAATTTTTCTTGTCTCTTTTCATTATAAACGAAACGACAAAAGTATGCATTCCCAGCTGTCCCCGAATGCCCGGGTACGGCGAAGCATAGGGAGAGTCAGCTTCCTATCTCAAAATACTCTCACATGGCCACGCGTATGAAGCCACTGTCAGGAAAGTCCTATTCACTGCATTCTCACAGCATGGGTGTTGTTTACGAAATTGAGACGATAAAAAGCGAATGTCTGGTGCATGAATTGAGTTGATGGATACAGAGGGTACATCTGGAAGAGTTGGGAAACCCTGATTCCAAATCAATAGTGTACATGAGCTCCATGATCTTTAAGGAACAAGCGGTATATGAACCTACTGTTGGTCACCGGCTACCATGGAATCGCATCTTCTGACGTTGTTCCACTGTCTTATGGATCAGACCTTTAGGTCGAAGGCTCTGGGTGTAGCCCCCTAAGAAAACCAGCTGCTTCGATTTGAGCACCCGTTCAGCATCACAGCCCACACACAAATCAAGTGGCTTGTGTGGTGCATATGTATTCGGTGCCTCTTTGTATCAATAGTTAAGTGTTCAACCAAATAAACACATTAGCTGGGAAGCTAACTGTTTACATGCCTTCGACTGAATCAATCAGTCCATTTATGATGTCCATATATATTTATCTATGTATATCAAAGACTAGATAGTTTAGTTTAGTCTGAAAACAGATCTCTTCAATGTTTATCTTTATAAGCAACTTTCTAATACACATTAGATCATATTCTTTTAAGTAATTTTCATAAATCATCTCTCATCATATTATATACTACTTATTATGATTTCTATTCACATAAACATATTTGAACTACATTTTGTTACTATGATACACCAATGAATAAGGATACTATACAATACAATTAACCAATATAAGACATATGAATCAATTCTAGAAAATGAAGATGATAATCATGATATAATAAACTAACAACTAATGTATAAAGATGATAAGAAATAGAAAGCGGAACTAAATCTAGACAGCTACTATCGAAACAGTAGGGTTTGTTTGTTTGTTTGTTCCTAATTGAAAAACTATAGACATGCATTTTATACATAAACTAACTATATAAAGTACTAATACTACTACACTTTACAAGAATAAAAACAAAACAAAAAAATGAGAAAGAAATTAAGCAACAACATGCAATTACATAATAATGGTAATCATGACTTAATGATGATGATGATAGTTTGGTAACACAATTATGTAGATGTATCTATTTGAAGTCATTAATGTTTTGTGTCGATTAGTAAATTTTAATGCCGGCTCAGTGGTCTAGTGGTTAAGTGCTCGCGCGCGAAACCAGTAGGTTCTGGATTCGAACCTCGCAGGGGACGAGGTCGTGAATGCGCACGACTGAGGAGTAGTCCCACAATAGGACGAAATGACCGTCCAGTGCTTCGAGGTTTTCCATGGTGGTCTAGTATCAACTGACTCATGATCTTAATTATTGAAATTTATATGAATTAAGTTTTACATTTACAGATATTGAGTCATTGTGGATTGAATAGTTCATAGTAATGTTAGTAAGAGTAGTAGTGTAGTAAATGAGAACAGAGGTAGGGATAAGTAAATATATGACTTAGTCAACTCTGAGAACCATACAATAAGTAATTCATTTGCAAAATGTCAATCAATTGTCTCAGACTTCATTGTTCCTTCATTTTCATACCAATCATTCTCTTTTTTATAGATCTTCTTAACATTCTGTTTCTAAAAATTTCACTTTCGATTGATGATACATACTACTTATAAATCTATTGACATCAGTAACACACACAACAGTAGTAGTCATGGTAGTAGTATTAGTATGGAACATTAGCTATATGCTTTAAAATCAATCAGAAGTTACCTTTATACTTCAACTGGATAGATTAAT